TGTTCGCCAAGAGTCCTGTGCCGAGCTCATCCCGCTCAGGTCAGAGCGACCAGAATCTCCGATGTGACTTAGTTTCCAAGGTTCGATCCTCAAATCTTAGAAACTAGAGGGCTTCTGTTATGCCTGGGAAAATAAGGGCTGGCGTGGGAAAGTCACGTGAAGAGTGACCTGCTCCCGTCAGAGCAACACGCACACGTCAGACCTGCTACATGATATGGAGCTCACACGTGTCCCTTTCCCCTGCAATAAATCATGCGAAATCAGCTTCGGAAGAGAGCAATGAGACATAAAGCCGGATTATATCCTGACAATCACACCAACCCATGGATTTAATGATAATTACACGCTTTAGCTTGATATAAAATGAGGAAGACCCCTTCATTAAGGGGATTCGGCCATTTTAACATTGAAAAACTCTCTCTCTCTCCCTTGTAAACACATTTACTTTTCATAACTCCTCTGTAGTCAGTCCGCTTTGCGACCTGACCCACACTAATATCAATACAAATCAGTGGACGTAGGACTTGCTACCTTAACATCTGAACCACTTTAAAAGTTTTCTTTGCATTTATTTCACTCCATCTATTAGCTATCACGTGTGTTAATCCACCAATCAGCAATACGCACATGACAGTTAGTTGGTGCCAAAATCGAGCATCAACAAAGTGAATTTAATTCTTAAAATCAAAGACCAAAAGCTTCTTTTCAAAAGGAAATCGATTGTTTTTTAAAACTAAAATAAAATTAAAAAATAGAAATAAACTAAAGAAAGTAAGCCAATTTTTTTAATTTTTAGTTTTAATAAATTTTTATTACTTATTTTGAAAAATAGAATAGTTTAAATGATTGAATTACGTTTTTACCTTATATAAAGTTAAATTTAACTCTAATTGAATAATTAATGTTCTAATTAATAATAATCCAACTTAAGACACCTGGCTTAAATCGTGGGTTCTAGTGAAACTTTGAAGGACTTCGAACTTTGTATTTTTGCACAGTCCACCTAAACCAAAATTACAACATAAGTTCGATTATTATTTGCTCTGTAAATGAATCAGAAAATGGAAGAAGAGAGAGCAAAAGAAGAGGAAACATGGAGCAGAGAAACAGTCCCAAAAGTAATGAGAATTGTGAGCTCAAGGCTCCCTCAAAGAGATTTAATTTCTCTTCTTCTCGTTAGCCCATCTCTTCATCGTACTTTACTTTCATATTCCTCTCTTTGGCTGGTACCCTTTTCATCTCTATTTTTTATTTTTTTAATGTGTTATCAAGTTCATATCGGTTTTTGTGATGTGGGTTTTTGTTTATTTGTGCTTTTGGTTTCAGGTTATTGATTTGCGTGAGATGAATAATGCTGGAAATAGACTTATAGCTGCTCTTTCAATGGTGAGATATGAGAAGATTTTGATTTATGAACTATGTGGTTAATTGAAGGGAAACCAAAAAAAAAAGATGGGTTTGTGTTGAATGATAACGAGGTTTTAGTGGAAAGTATTGGTCTTGTGGCTTGAGAAATTGAACTTTGAGATAATATCTCTTAAAAGTTAATATATTTTTAATCCAAATGTTAAGGTTTGGAGTTAAAAGGATTTGTGGTTAAAATGTCGACTTAGTTTCTGGCATTTGGACTCACAGCTACTTGTTCAATGTGTGTTGTGTTTTATGAGAAGGTTTTGATTCATGAAGCTATGAATGTGGCAATTGAAGGTGAAAAAAAGATGATCAAGTTCATGAATTTTCCTTCGGAATTTTAAGATATGAAGTTAAAATGTTGACTTTGTCACCGGTATTTGGACTTGTAGCTGCTTTCAATGGTGTATTATGTTTCCTGAGCAGATTTTGATTCATGAAACAATGAATGTGCAATTGAAGGAAAAAGATAAAATTGATGGGTTTGTGTTGTTTCACGATGAGGTTTTAGTCACAAGTTTTGATCTTGTCGTGAAAGCTTTAACTTAGAGATATAAACTCTTAAAATTTCTTGATTTTTAATTCAACCAGTTAAGATTTAGATTTAAAAAGCGATTTTTGATATTGTTAAATTGGTTACTGACATTTGAGTTCGGATTGTTTGATAATGATGATTTAGTAGAAAGTTTGAATTTTGTGGCTTAAATTAGCTTTGAGATATAAAATCTTAAAAGTTTGTGTATTTTAATCCAAGTTCTAAGATTTGGAGTAAAAAAGTAACATTTAAATTGCCAAATTATTTCTGATGTTTGGAGTCTGTGCCAGTGAAATGTTAAATCACAAGAGCTTGACTTTTAGGAAATCAGCAGAAGTAAAATTGCTTAGTTTTGTACTTCATTTTTTGTCTTTTGCTTTATTTTTTAAGTATTATGGATAGTTATATGATCGGTTGAGAATTTTGTGTGTTTTGTAGCCTAGATATCAGAATGTGAAACAGATAAACCTTGAGTTTGCGCAAGATATTGAAGACAGACATCTCGACCTCCTTAAAACCAAGGTGATATTTTGTATCTTTAACTGGTTTAAAGTTGTTTCCATGTCATTTATTGAAAAATTTCTGTGGAATGTAAGATCACTTTCATGATTTCATGAAAAAAATATACCTGTTAAGAGATATAATGATCATCAAATTGGTAGTATCCTCTTTAGCAACTTTATGAGGAGTTGCTGCACATTTTTTGGTTGGCTTGATCTTAAATCAAATGCTGCATTCATTGCTGTATTTTTGCGAGCATGGACTTGGAAGAATATTTAAACTGTACTATTATTGTGGAGACCCATACATGGTATCTAGTTGAAGTATCTTTCTCAACCGTGACAAAAAAATATTTTAGGCATAAGATAAGTTACGGTCAATGGTTTTTTCGTCTGATAAAATATTATTGATGGAATTTTATTCATTTTTACAGTGTTTGGGTTCTTTGCAAAACCTGGAGTCTTTGAATCTGAATGGTTGTCAGAAGATCTCAGACAAGGGCATTGAAATTATAACTACTGCTTGTCCTAAACTGAAAGTGTTCTCCATTTATTGGAATGTAAGGTATTTTAAGATTTACTGATCTGCCATTACTATCAGTAGTTTAAGTATATGTTTCTGGAGTGTATTGTTTATTGATACTGATGAGTTTTGGAATCCAAATTGAACTTCAGAGTAACAGATATTGGCATACAGCATCTGGTAAAGAACTGCAAATATATTGTTGATTTGAACTTAAGTGGCTGTAAGGTAATTGATTACTATTTTCATTGCCATCTTGAATATAGATAGGAGGTTAGATTCAAAGTTTTGTTTTGTCCAACTAAAGCAATATGTGAAATTATAGAATAATTTTATCTCTTATAATGGGTTTTCTATTGTATAATCTGCTTATAGATAAACCGTCAAATTAAATAGAGATTATCTTGAAGGATTGTCATTCAATAAAGCGTTTTGTTGTTACAATGCAGAATATATCTGACAAGAGTTTGCAATTAGTTGCTGACAATTATCAAGAGATAGAATCATTGAACCTGACTAGGTATGTAATTGTGATTGCTGGAACAACTTCATATAAGGAGAAGCAAGGCTGAAATGGCTTCTTCTTTTATATCTCATGACATATGACTCTCACAGTTCATTTCTCATTTCTCAAGAATTGTATATTTAACTCATTTTAAAAGTCGTGACAACATGGTCCATGTTAATGTCACCAATACTATTCAGACAAGGGAAATAATTATTAGATAAATCCAAGACGTGCATAATTTATTCTCATAAATATTTGCTTGAGTACTGTATGCACATAATGAGACGAATAAATCGATTACTTCCAATGAAGAACTATATCTTTTGATTATGCTAGTGTCTCATAATCCTGTGGCGTTTTCCAGGTGTGTCAAGCTAACAGATGGTGGCTTGCAAAAAATTTTGCTCAAGTGCACCTCTCTCAAGAGTTTAAATCTTTATGCCCTTTCTAGGTATGCTGTGATCTTTTTTTTTTTTTTTTTTTTAATATGTCATATTTTCTTGTGTTTTTTTCATCAGGGATCTCTGTTTTATAGGACTGACTGCATTGTTTTTCTCCAGCTTCACAGGTGAAGCTTACAATAAGATATCACTTTTATCCCATCTCTGTTTCTTGGACCTATGTGGCGCTCAGGTATAGCTTGTGCTTTCTGAGCAAGTGTTTCACTCCAAAATTTTCGTGCTAATGATTGAGAATTGTTAAAATTATGATTTTCAGAATCTGTCAGATGAAGGACTTGCCTGTATAGCTAAATGCAAGAATCTTGTATCTCTCAATTTAACATGGTAAGCGTTGACCTTTAGTATTTTACTTGAGAGTAGATGAACTGGTTATAATTGAAAGTCTCTCCTTGGTAGGTGTGTACGTATCACTGATGCGGGGGTGATAGTTCTTGCTCAAGGTTGCACCTCTCTTGAATTTCTTAGGTAATTCCTGAAAAGAAAAATAGTACTAGATTTGGATTTTGAAAGCACCATAATTTTTGTTTTTTTGCAATTTATATATTGACTTCAGTAGTTACTTTATTTCACTCTCTTCTTTATGTATTTATTTAATTATCGGTAGGAAACAGTAAACTTTTCTAATTAATACAAGTTGTTAACAAAAGTGCAAAGTAACATGTTCTAGAACAGTCGAATTAATACAAGTATCAGAATCAGGAAATTCTAAAGAGTCGTCAATATTACATGAATTACATGAAGAATACCCAAAAAACAAGATGTGGATGATCCTCTCCTCTATTGTCTACAAAATTCTTCTCAAAATTTCTCATGTCATAATAGCACCTCTTCCCAGATGTAAAAAATTGAAAAGAAAAAAGTTACCTTGAAATTCAGCTGCATTGTAGCCCAAATTGAGCTTTATCCATAAGAAATGAAGAGTTTTCCCGTTATAATTGTTTAATATCTAATTTGTTTTTTTCTAACTTTATAATGCAAAAGATAGCCATTGATTCATAATTCAATAGCATAGAGGCTTTTTTACCCACCTCGGGAAACTAGTATGCTTTTCGATAACCAAAGATACTCGAGCTTGGAATGATTCAGCTCAGTGTAGCTTTGTAAAAAAGTGTGAACCATAATTGCTAGGCAAGAGGGCAATGGAGAAAAAAGATGGTGATTATTGTTGGTCTCCTAACACATAAGACATCATGGGGTAGAGAAACAAATTTTTGATTTCTTTGATGAATATCTTTCATTTTGACCCTTTGATGTGCAGTTGTCCAAGATAAAAGTTGAACATCACTAGGAATTTTGACTTTCCAAATTTTCAAAGAGGATTCGGAAAAAGGGATCGGGGAATTTCAATTAGGCACTCAAAATAAATTTTCTGAGAGAAGTTGTGTGACTTATTGAGGCACTCAAAATATCAGTTATCCTTGTGTCTTATGTATTGAATTAAATGAAAGCTCAATTAACAACCTTGGTTTTGGAATCCAACCTTTACAGCTAGTTTGCTAATTATGTTTTTATGGACTAAGCCAAACATGATATGTTCATTTAACGCTCAGCACTGATTTGCAGTGGACAATTTACAAGGGCCTTTCAATTTCACCCCTTGTAGGAAGTTGAGTAAAGTAATGTGCTTAAGAAAATGGAAATTATGAATTCTGCCACCAATATGCGAGTATATTTTTAATTTCATCAATTTTCACAAGTCTTGAGCTATATGCAGTCTAGTTGCCAAATCTTGAAACCCTTTCTTCCAATAAGCATGTAGTATCTAACTTGATTGTTCCCTGCTGTTGTAATAATGCCGTTTGAATGCTGTTACTTTTAGAACTGCAAAATTTGTTTCTCTTGATATATATAGTTATTTTTTTACTTATATCTGCAGCTTATTTGGAATAGTTGGGGTGACCGATAAGTGCCTTGAGGTCCTTTCAAGCTTCTGCTCAAAGACGCTTACAACTCTAGATGTAAATGGATGTGTCGGCATTAAGGTATGACTAGTTGTTTTTATAGGATTGTTTTTAAAACCTGTTCATGTACTGATCAGTAATTATCCGATAACCTACATAAGTGATTCGATTTCATGTTGCAACATGCCCCTTCAAACACTTACAGATCCATGTGCAAACACTGTCGTTTTGTTACCAGATAATTTTTCAGTGTTTCTCTAAGCATGAAATATATTTTTGTAGAAACGGAGCCGCGATGAACTGCTTCAGTTGTTCCCATATCTGAGGTGCTTCAAAGTTCACAGCTGATCTCCGAAGCTGCCATTTGTAATTCAATAAAGCGTTTTGTTGTTACAATGCAGAATATATCTGACAAGAGTTTGCAATTAGTTGCTGACAATATCAAGAGATAGAATCATTGAACCTGACTAGGGATGTAATTGTGATTGCTGGAACAACTTCATATAAGGAGAAGCAAGGCTGAAATGGCTTTTTCTTTATATCTCATGACATATGACTCTCACAGTTCATTTCTCATTTCTCAAGAATTGTATATTTAACTCATTTTAAAAGTCGTGGACAACATGGTCCATGTTAATGTCACCAATACTATTCAGACAAGGGAAATAATTATTAGTAAATCCATGAATAATTAATGTTCTAATTAATAATAATCCAACTTAAGACACCTGGCTTAAATCGTGGGTTCTAATGAAATTTTAAAGGACTTCGAACTTTGTATTTTTGCACAGTCCACCTAAACCGAAATTACAACTTACGTTCGATTATTATTTGCCCTGTAAATGAATCAGAAAATGGAAGAAGAGAGAGCAAAAGAAGAGGAAACATGGAGCAGAGAAACAGTCCCAAAAGTAATGAGAATTGTGAGCTCAAGGCTCCCTCAAAGAGATTTAATTTCTCTTCTTCTCGTTAGCCCATCTCTTCATCGTACTTTACTTTCATATTCCTCTCTTTGGCTGGTACCCTTTTCATCTCTATTTTTTATTTTTTTAATGTGTTATCAAGTTCATATCGGTTTTTGTGATGTGGGTTTTTGTTTATTTGTGCTTTTGGTTTCAGGTTATTGATTTGCGTGAGATGAATAATGCTGGAAATAGACTTATAGCTGCTCTTTCAATGGTGAGATATGAGAAGATTTTGATTTATGAACTATGTGGTTAATTGAAGGGAAACCAAAAAAAAAAGATGGGTTTGTGTTGAATGATAACGAGGTTTTAGTGGAAAGTATTGGTCTTGTGGCTTGAGAAATTGAACTTTGAGATAATATCTCTTAAAAGTTAATATATTTTTAATCCAAATGTTAAGGTTTGGAGTTAAAAGGATTTGTGGTTAAAATGTCGACTTAGTTTCTGGCATTTGGACTCACAGCTACTTGTTCAATGTGTGTTGTGTTTTATGAGAAGGTTTTGATTCATGAAGCTATGAATGTGGCAATTGAAGGTGAAAAAAAGATGATCAAGTTCATGAATTTTCCTTCGGAATTTTAAGATATGAAGTTAAAATGTTGACTTTGTCACCGGTATTTGGACTTGTAGCTGCTTTCAATGGTGTATTATGTTTCCTGAGCAGATTTTGATTCATGAAACAATGAATGTGCAATTGAAGGAAAAAGATAAAATTGATGGGTTTGTGTTGTTTCACGATGAGGTTTTAGTCACAAGTTTTGATCTTGTCGTGAAAGCTTTAACTTAGAGATATAAACTCTTAAAATTTCTTGATTTTTAATTCAACCAGTTAAGATTTAGATTTAAAAAGCGATTTTTGATATTGTTAAATTGGTTACTGACATTTGAGTTCGGATTGTTTGATAATGATGATTTAGTAGAAAGTTTGAATTTTGTGGCTTAAATTAGCTTTGAGATATAAAATCTTAAAAGTTTGTGTATTTTAATCCAAGTTCTAAGATTTGGAGTAAAAAAGTAACATTTAAATTGCCAAATTATTTCTGATGTTTGGAGTCTGTGCCAGTGAAATGTTAAATCACAAGAGCTTGACTTTTAGGAAATCAGCAGAAGTAAAATTGCTTAGTTTTGTACTTCATTTTTTGTCTTTTGCTTTATTTTTTAAGTATTATGGATAGTTATATGATCGGTTGAGAATTTTGTGTGTTTTGTAGCCTAGATATCAGAATGTGAAACAGATAAACCTTGAGTTTGCGCAAGATATTGAAGACAGACATCTCGACCTCCTTAAAACCAAGGTGATATTTTGTATCTTTAACTGGTTTAAAGTTGTTTCCATGTCATTTATTGAAAAATTTCTGTGGAATGTAAGATCACTTTCATGATTTCATGAAAAAAATATACCTGTTAAGAGATATAATGATCATCAAATTGGTAGTATCCTCTTTAGCAACTTTATGAGGAGTTGCTGCACATTTTTTGGTTGGCTTGATCTTAAATCAAATGCTGCATTCATTGCTGTATTTTTGCGAGCATGGACTTGGAAGAATATTTAAACTGTACTATTATTGTGGAGACCCATACATGGTATCTAGTTGAAGTATCTTTCTCAACCGTGACAAAAAAATATTTTAGGCATAAGATAAGTTACGGTCAATGGTTTTTTCGTCTGATAAAATATTATTGATGGAATTTTATTCATTTTTACAGTGTTTGGGTTCTTTGCAAAACCTGGAGTCTTTGAATCTGAATGGTTGTCAGAAGATCTCAGACAAGGGCATTGAAATTATAACTACTGCTTGTCCTAAACTGAAAGTGTTCTCCATTTATTGGAATGTAAGGTATTTTAAGATTTACTGATCTGCCATTACTATCAGTAGTTTAAGTATATGTTTCTGGAGTGTATTGTTTATTGATACTGATGAGTTTTGGAATCCAAATTGAACTTCAGAGTAACAGATATTGGCATACAGCATCTGGTAAAGAACTGCAAATATATTGTTGATTTGAACTTAAGTGGCTGTAAGGTAATTGATTACTATTTTCATTGCCATCTTGAATATAGATAGGAGGTTAGATTCAAAGTTTTGTTTTGTCCAACTAAAGCAATATGTGAAATTATAGAATAATTTTATCTCTTATAATGGGTTTTCTATTGTATAATCTGCTTATAGATAAACCGTCAAATTAAATAGAGATTATCTTGAAGGATTGTCATTCAATAAAGCGTTTTGTTGTTACAATGCAGAATATATCTGACAAGAGTTTGCAATTAGTTGCTGACAATTATCAAGAGATAGAATCATTGAACCTGACTAGGTATGTAATTGTGATTGCTGGAACAACTTCATATAAGGAGAAGCAAGGCTGAAATGGCTTCTTCTTTTATATCTCATGACATATGACTCTCACAGTTCATTTCTCATTTCTCAAGAATTGTATATTTAACTCATTTTAAAAGTCGTGACAACATGGTCCATGTTAATGTCACCAATACTATTCAGACAAGGGAAATAATTATTAGATAAATCCAAGACGTGCATAATTTATTCTCATAAATATTTGCTTGAGTACTGTATGCACATAATGAGACGAATAAATCGATTACTTCCAATGAAGAACTATATCTTTTGATTATGCTAGTGTCTCATAATCCTGTGGCGTTTTCCAGGTGTGTCAAGCTAACAGATGGTGGCTTGCAAAAAATTTTGCTCAAGTGCACCTCTCTCAAGAGTTTAAATCTTTATGCCCTTTCTAGGTATGCTGTGATCTTTTTTTTTTTTTTTTTTTTAATATGTCATATTTTCTTGTGTTTTTTTCATCAGGGATCTCTGTTTTATAGGACTGACTGCATTGTTTTTCTCCAGCTTCACAGGTGAAGCTTACAATAAGATATCACTTTTATCCCATCTCTGTTTCTTGGACCTATGTGGCGCTCAGGTATAGCTTGTGCTTTCTGAGCAAGTGTTTCACTCCAAAATTTTCGTGCTAATGATTGAGAATTGTTAAAATTATGATTTTCAGAATCTGTCAGATGAAGGACTTGCCTGTATAGCTAAATGCAAGAATCTTGTATCTCTCAATTTAACATGGTAAGCGTTGACCTTTAGTATTTTACTTGAGAGTAGATGAACTGGTTATAATTGAAAGTCTCTCCTTGGTAGGTGTGTACGTATCACTGATGCGGGGGTGATAGTTCTTGCTCAAGGTTGCACCTCTCTTGAATTTCTTAGGTAATTCCTGAAAAGAAAAATAGTACTAGATTTGGATTTTGAAAGCACCATAATTTTTGTTTTTTTGCAATTTATATATTGACTTCAGTAGTTACTTTATTTCACTCTCTTCTTTATGTATTTATTTAATTATCGGTAGGAAACAGTAAACTTTTCTAATTAATACAAGTTGTTAACAAAAGTGCAAAGTAACATGTTCTAGAACAGTCGAATTAATACAAGTATCAGAATCAGGAAATTCTAAAGAGTCGTCAATATTACATGAATTACATGAAGAATACCCAAAAAACAAGATGTGGATGATCCTCTCCTCTATTGTCTACAAAATTCTTCTCAAAATTTCTCATGTCATAATAGCACCTCTTCCCAGATGTAAAAAATTGAAAAGAAAAAAGTTACCTTGAAATTCAGCTGCATTGTAGCCCAAATTGAGCTTTATCCATAAGAAATGAAGAGTTTTCCCGTTATAATTGTTTAATATCTAATTTGTTTTTTTCTAACTTTATAATGCAAAAGATAGCCATTGATTCATAATTCAATAGCATAGAGGCTTTTTTACCCACCTCGGGAAACTAGTATGCTTTTCGATAACCAAAGATACTCGAGCTTGGAATGATTCAGCTCAGTGTAGCTTTGTAAAAAAGTGTGAACCATAATTGCTAGGCAAGAGGGCAATGGAGAAAAAAGATGGTGATTATTGTTGGTCTCCTAACACATAAGACATCATGGGGTAGAGAAACAAATTTTTGATTTCTTTGATGAATATCTTTCATTTTGACCCTTTGATGTGCAGTTGTCCAAGATAAAAGTTGAACATCACTAGGAATTTTGACTTTCCAAATTTTCAAAGAGGATTCGGAAAAAGGGATCGGGGAATTTCAATTAGGCACTCAAAATAAATTTTCTGAGAGAAGTTGTGTGACTTATTGAGGCACTCAAAATATCAGTTATCCTTGTGTCTTATGTATTGAATTAAATGAAAGCTCAATTAACAACCTTGGTTTTGGAATCCAACCTTTACAGCTAGTTTGCTAATTATGTTTTTATGGACTAAGCCAAACATGATATGTTCATTTAACGCTCAGCACTGATTTGCAGTGGACAATTTACAAGGGCCTTTCAATTTCACCCCTTGTAGGAAGTTGAGTAAAGTAATGTGCTTAAGAAAATGGAAATTATGAATTCTGCCACCAATATGCGAGTATATTTTTAATTTCATCAATTTTCACAAGTCTTGAGCTATATGCAGTCTAGTTGCCAATTCTTGAAACCCTTTCTTCCAATAAGCATGTAGTATCTAACTTGATTGTTCCCTGCTGTTGTAATAATGCCGTTTGAATGCTGTTACTTTTAGAACTGCAAAATTTGTTTCTCTTGATATATATAGTTATTTTTTTACTTATATCTGCAGCTTATTTGGAATAGTTGGGGTGACCGATAAGTGCCTTGAGGTCCTTTCAAGCTTCTGCTCAAAGACGCTTACAACTCTAGATGTAAATGGATGTGTCGGCATTAAGGTATGACTATTTGTTTTTATAGGATTGTTTTTAAAACCTGTTCATGTACTGATCAGTAATTATCCGATAACCTACATAAGTGATTTGATTTCATTTTGCCACATGACCCTTCAAACACTTACAGATCCATGTGCAAACACTGTCGTTTTGTTACCAGATAATTTTTCAGTGTTTCTCTAAGCATGAAATATATTCTTGTAGAAACGGAGACGCGATGAACTGCTTCAATTGTTCCCATATCTGACGTGCTTCAAAGTTCACAGCTGATCTCCGAAGCTGCCATGTTTTTGTAATGAATCAACAGGTTTTCTTCTCAACACTTGATAGTATGATGTCAGTATGATAACATCACCAGTTCGACCCGTTGGTCATGATTATGTCTCTGGTCTGACCATTGGACCTCCCGACCCAGGGATCGGCCCCTTGACTGAGTCAAGGCCCAGGTCAAGTATTAAAACATTTATTGCAAGTTGAAGAAAATTTTATCACACAAAATACAAATAAACCTTCTTTACCCATATGTTTCTTTGTACAAATTATTGGTTGCCATCGACAAATTTATGAGTCTATCCCACTTACACTTCTATTTTATATCTCATGAATCTCTCTTTAAATATGGAACATAAACCATCTCCTTCTGGAGATTAAAACCGCATCAATCAAATTATAGTCTTCTACACTTTCGTTTTTCATGCATGCGTTGACTGGGATTGTATGACTAAACACACAAAAGTTGATTGAAATTACAAATTTACTTTCGTTGGGAGAAAATAATGAGGTGGGAAGCATGTGAGACGTCTTCTCGGAAATTCTTGAAGCATATCATCAAATCAACTTTCCACCTCAACCACAAACTGCAAGTTTATGAAAGTTTTATCACACAAAATACAAATAAACTTGCTTTACCCGTATGTTTTCTGTGTACTAATGGTGGCCATTGACAAATTTTTTGAATCTATCTCACTTACATTTCTATTTTTAAATATAGAACATAAACCATAGCTTTCTGAGGTCAATTGATTATCACGTGGTGACAGTACAAAGGTTGTTGGATGGAAAGAAAAACGGGTGCATGGAAATGAATTCATATTGGAGAGTGAAACCGGGTAAGCATATGTTAATTGAGATTGTATGACAAAAAACACAAAAGTTGATAGAGATTTCAAATTTTACTTCTGTATAAGGGGAAAACATTAGGTGAGATGTCTTCTCCGAAATTGTTGAAGCACATTCAACAAAACACATCCCTTCTTCTTTAGGCTTAGGCATATGTTGATTGAGATTGTCTTACTAAAAACATAAAAGTTGATAGAGATTTCAAATTTACTTCTCCAGAATGGGAAAATAATGAGGTGGGAAGCATGTGAGATGTCTTCTCGGAGATTCTTGAAGCACATTCAACAAACCATGCCATAAAATCAAATTTGCCCATATGTTTTATCACACAAAAGACAAATAAACGTACTTTACCCACATGTTATTTGTGTGCAGAGATTGATAGATGGAAAGAATAATGACCGCGTGAAAATAAAATGAATTCATATTGGATACTGAAACTGTGTTAATTAAATTCTTTGTATTTTTTTTTACGCATATGTTGATTGATATTGAGACTTAAACCGCTTGAGAATTCATGGTTTCATTATCAAATATCAAAGAATAATTCTAAATATTCACTCAATAATTTTTAAAGATTTGAAGCCTAAAACTTTGGCTTTTGAGATTAGCCCTTGTCTAGTTTTAACGAATGCATATACTTTTCAACTGTTTTTAATGTAATTTGTAATCATATTTGCCTTGTTTTTAGTGTAACGAATGCATATACTTTTCACTTCCCATTTTCTTTTCACTTCCCATTTTCTTTGCATATACGTTGATTGAGATTGAGAGTGAAACCACATGAGATTTTATGGTTTCATTATCAAAGAATAATTTTTTGAATCTCCCATGTGAAAAGCATAAATAGGAGTAATGTTATTATATCCAACAAATTCTTGCAGTATTAAGTGGGACATTGGGAGTGGGATTGGTATTCACGTGGAGCGTGGTTTAATTAGATTGAGAAAGCGTTTGGGATGATATTCTACATTTTGTCAAGCCTTTGGTAGCAAGTTAAAAATTTTCATCTAGGATCCTTTTAAAAATTAGAATTTCCATTTTTCGGATATGAGTTAAGACTAGATGAAAAAGTTTTTATACTGTAATATTAAATATTAATTAATTAATATTGTAATTGTTGATATTAATTTTTAATTTTCATACTATTAAATTACCTAATTATTCATATATTAATTTCACATTTATGCTACCATTTTGACTAAATTTTTTATAGATTTACATTTCGTTTAATATCAATATTAGTTCATTATATAAACTTTTTATGGTTACAAAAACATTAATGAAATTTATAATTGCTAATCATTTTTTTAATCAAATTTAATTTATAAACATTATTTTTATCTTTACTTATAAAAGAAGTTAATGACGTGTACGAAAAAGGACAAACAAAAAAAAAGTTGAGTTAATTACAAGGGGATTGATTTGGTGGTCAAGAAGGTTTGCTCATTTTATTAACTTGTTGGGTTTAAAACACCTTGGAGCTACCTACCACAATTATAGTTTACCTAAAATATTAGCCTTGTAGGGTGTTTAATGGGTCCTTAGGATTAGTTGGCTTGTAGAGTGTTCAATGAACCTTGAGAATTAGTTGAGGTACGACAACTATGTATAAGCTGGTCTGAATATCCCGGTCATCAGAAAAAAAAAAAAAAGTTGGGTGTGCACCATAAGGGCCCATGTTGAATATTTTTTTTTCCCCAGGCCAGCTTGTGCGTACTTTAACTAATCTCTTGGAACTCTGAAGTTGATAGTCGGGTAAATCCCATCAATGACCACCCCTATTAGCAATCTAGATGGATCAAACTCAAGACTTCTTTAGTAATATACCCAAAAGTTATAGTTGACCGCTAGACCACTCAGTGGTGGTTATGCACAAAGATGATATTGGTACGTGTAGTTGTGTTAATGATTTCTACTAGCTTACTCTTGTTATTATAAATGCATCTAGACATTTGTTTTCTGGCTCGCCATTAAGTTCCTGGGCTTGATATGGATGTAGACCCTTGTGCTGCAATTCTAGTATTTTTGATACATAATAAATGACATAAAAATAACCACTCTGCTTAGCGGAAAAGGAAAGGGACGTATGGGATTTACCTAGAGCTGGGCATTTGGGACCGGGTCCAAAAGCCCAGCTCCAAAACCCGGTCCTAGGACCGGACCTTGAGAGGACCGGACCTAGGAGGCCTGGTCCCAAAACGGGACCAGGCCTAAGGAGGAGGGCCCGGGCCCTCCACTAGGCCCTCTTCCAAGGCCCGGGCCCTCTACTGGGCCCTCTTCCAAGGCGCCTGGGACCGGTCCCAGGCCTATGCCCAAATTTTTTTGTATTTTTACAATATAGTCCCCTGCCAAATTACATAAAACCTCCTGTTAATTTTAAAATAAATATAAATTACGAGGGCTAAAATAAAATTTTACAAAATTTATAAAAAAAAAAATCTTCCAGGTCTAAAAAATTTATAAATTTTATAAATTTTACCCCTAAAAAAATACTAAAAACCCTTTATAAAATTTCGTTTTGCCCCTAAAATATAAAAAAAATTAAGGGGGGAAAATAAAATTATCCAAGCCCCATGGGACCAGTCCCGACCAGGCCTAGGGCTTGGTCCGGGTCTTGATTTTTCTCATGGGCTTGGGACCGGTCCCAGGCCCATGAGTGACTGGTCCCATTTGGGACCAGTCCCAAATGGGCCCAGTCCTGGGCCTGGAAGGGACCGGTCCCTTGCCCACCTCTAGATTTACCTACTTGAATGAAATTCTAGCTGTAGCAATTGATGTTATGTTAGTGATTAACCAAATAATGTTGTGGATTGGACTAAATATCCACTCTGAGAAATTACTTGGTATAATTTTAACCATTTTTATTATGTTACCAAATAAATATTAAATATTAATTAATAAATATTTTAATTGTTGATATAATTAATGGCTTAATGCTAATTCCATCTTCTTGTGATATTTGATTTTTAACTTTCATACTATTAACCTAATTATTAATTTCACATTTATGCAACCATTTTACTAAAATTTTATAGATTAACAGTTCGTTTAATATCAATATTAGTTTATTATATAAACTTTTTTATGGTTTTAAAAACATTAATAAATTTATAATTGCTAATCATATTTTTAATTAAATTAAATTTATAAACGTTACTTTTATATTTACTTTAAAAGAAAAACTCAAAACTTAATTTATAAACATTAAGAGTTAGAAATTTGAATGTCGAACCATTCATGGCAAACCCTAGAAAATTGTACTAAGAATAAATTCATACTGGAGACTGAAACTGTGATAAAAGTTGTTGTTATGGTATTTCAATATACCAAATTTTAATTGCTTTGGACTGTTATGTGATTCGGACTGTTATGTGTTAAAAGCAATTGAAACTTTAATTGCTTTTGGACTGTTATGTGCAATTGATATCGAAGATTGCTTTTTTGTTGGACTGTTTCGTAGTAAAGGCAATGGAATTGTTCCAAGTTATTGCAATTCAAATGGGCAGTTATGATTTTAAAAGCCATTGATTGACTTTGGTTGCAGCAAGGGAAACGGGCAGAATTTCAAGTATAAAAAGGGGGTGGTTTTCTCATCTGAAAACACAACTTTTCACTTGGAAATTCTTTGTTGCTCTGTGGTTTTTTTAACTTTCCAACTCTCCTTCACCACTGTTATTTTTTTTATATTGTTCTAAATCTCTTTTAGAGTGTGCACTCTAAAAGAAGATTCGTCATTGTATCCTGGAGGTCAATCCGCTGTTGAGCCTTGTTGCACCACGAAGATTCTTCCAGTAGGGGCGGAATTTTGATCTTAAGGATAGTGCGTTTGCATGCCTTGACGCTGCCGTCTTGCTGCTATTTCGCTGCTGTGTTCGTTGCTGTTTCACTGCTGTATTGTTGCTGTATTGCTGCTGTCTCTCTGCTGTTCTTGCTGCTGTTTTTCCTGCTTTTTCATTGCTATTCTTTTGCTGTATCACTGCTGTATCTCTGCTGTTTTTCCTGCGGTTCTCTTGCAATGTTCCTGCTGTTTCACTGTTGTTCTTCTGCTGTTTCGTTACTGTTCTTTCACTGGTTTGCTGCTGCTGTTTTGCTGCCAATTTTTTGTATTAAAATCCAACAGAAACTGCATCAAATAAGTTCTTGTCTTTTTCACTTTCCTTCTGTTTTTATGTAGATGATGACTAAAAACACAAAGTTGATAAAGATTTCAAATTTAATTCTATAGAAGGGGAAAGTATTAGGTGGGAAGCATGTGAGATGTCTTCTCGGAAATTTCGTGAAGCACATTCAACAAAACACATCACTTCTTCTTTAGGCAAGTTGATTGAGATTGTCTCACTAAAAACATAAAAGTTGATAGATCGAGATTTCAAATTACTTTTACATAAGGAGAAAATAATCAGCTTGGAAGCATGTGAGATGTCTTCTGGGAAATTCTTGAAGCACATTTAACAAAACACATCATCAAATAAACTTTCCCTATATGTTTTATCACACAAAATACAAATAAACCCCATTTACCCATATGTTTTTGTATACAGGGGTTGCTAGATGGAAATAAAAACGGTTGCGTGAAAGTGAATTCATATTGGAGACTAAAACCGCTTCAATTAAATTATAGTCTTCTTCACTTTCCTTCTTCTTTACGCATATGTTGATTGAAATTGAGAGTGAAACCATGTGAGATTTCGTGGTTTCATTATCAAAGAATAATTCTAGATGTTCACTCAATAAATTAAATTGATATTTGGAGCCTAAAACTTTGGCTTTCTAGACCAATTATTGTGTAGTATTAGCAAATGCATATACTTTCTAGTTGTTTCTAGTGTAATTTGTAATTATATTTGCCTTGTTTAGGTGACTACTGAAAGCAAATAACCTAAGTTGTTGATCTACGGCTAGATCTGGCCGTCGAGGCCACAAAACTCCATATGCGTCGTCGACGGCCAGATCTAGCCTTTTCCGGCCAGATCAGCCACGGATCTAGCTGGAAAAGGCCAGATCGACGTGTTACGATACAGATCCGATGGGTCTGTGTTGTAACGCAATTTTTCGGTCAGATTCTGGCAGTGGTGGCCAGAATCTGGCAATGCGGGTGGTGGGGGTGTTTTTGTCATTTAACAAAATTTTTATATATGGGGGTGTTTAGTTAAATTAGCAAACCTAGGGGGTTTTTGAGAAATTTTTAAATTTATAAAAAACTAAAATATCAAAAGGGCATTTTAGTTTTTTTCACTATTAACAAACAGAAATCACTAACAGCACATGACAGAAGATACATGTTTGTCGTTTCCAAACCTTTTAGGTATCACTTTGTCGTTACGGAAAACCTTGGGTATGCGTAAGTTGTTTGGCCTCCAATGAAATGACGGCACACATCAACTTAACAAAATATAAAAAATATATATATATTTTCAAATTTTCAAATTTTAGATTCAAACCCTTTTTTATTTTATTTATGTTTTTTTTCAATTTTTTAATAATTTTTTTAAATTTACAATTCAAAACTACAATTAAATAAATGTTATTTAAAAAAATAGAATTAAAAATTAAAAATAAATAAATTTTCATGGTACTTAATTTTCCGAAATTGAAAGATTTATAACTTGTCTTCTTTTTTCTTTTTTTTTTTTTTTTCTCTAAATTGATAATCTCCCCTTTATTTTTATGTAATGGATTAATCTCCCATAATTACATTTAATTCGAAAGGGTGAATTTTTTTCTACATTAATTAGTTCTTGGCATTAATGGAGAAGATGGTTGAGAAGTAACATCAATTTTTAATATCTTCAAGTAATTAATAAATATTAATATTAATTCATGGCATTGATGGAGAAGATGGCATTAACGGCAAACGTAATGGGTCTCAATATCTTCAAGTAATTAATAAATATTAATATTAATTCATGGCATTGATGGAGAAGATGGCATTAACGGCAAACGTAATGGGTCTCAATATCTTCAAGTAATTAATAAATATTAATATTAATTCAGCCTTTTAAACTAATTTAATTTATATATGGGGATGCCAAATCATTAAGTCACCCTTATTTCTTTTCAGTTTGTATAGGTCTTACTTTCATTTGAGCTGATTAAACTTTAATCGCGTTAACGACGCATGCTTGGAATAAGAAATGATAAGACCCTCAGTTCAGCTGTGAAGAAAAGTGATAGTGGCATGCTATTTCTAAGTTTAGTGAAAAAGGACAAAATAGAACAGTAATAGCCTTCCTGCCTGCCTGAACAGTAATAGCATTCTTCTGGAGCTCATTTGATTACAGACTTACAGTACAAAGGTTGGTGGATGGAAAGAAAAAGGGCCGCCTGAAAATGAATTCATACTGAGACTGAAAACCGTGTCAATTTAATTCTAATTTTCTTTACCCATATGTTGATTGAGATTGAGAATGAAATCTTTTGAAATTTTATGGTTTTGCTATCAAAGAATAATTATAGATATTGACTCGATAAACAAAATTGATATTTTCAAAGATTTGGATTCTAAAACTTTGGCTTTCTAGACCGACTCGTGTCTAGTTTTAGCAAATGTATATACTTTTCAACTGCTTCTAGTATAATTTGTAATCATATTTGCCTTGTATTTGTAATCATATTTGCTTTGTTTAAAGTGACCACTGAAAGCAAACAACTTAACTTGTTCAGCTGAAATTATGTATAACATTAAAATACCCTAAATATCACTGAACGTATTAAAACTAAAGTTGATCTATTAGTTAAGAAATGTTGCATAAAATATGTCATAACTTAAACCTTACTCCAACTCTATTTTCTTAGCAAAATTGTAATTGAATTTGAGGTCCTAAAAGATACAAATAAACCTTCTTTACCCACATGTTATTGTGTACTAATAATTTGTATGGTGATAAATTCTTATTTACAAAATTAATACATATTTTGTGATAAATTTTAAATACCCAGTACTTTGCAATAAAAGAACATTGGTTAGCCATCAAACATGTCGTCCCATTTGGGAAGATTTTGTTAGTTATTTGGTTAGGTTTTCCCATTAATTGCATGGGCATCATGAGTAATAATAACTGTTAGGGCTAAAAATCGTCCTTGGCCCAAATAGGGAAATAGGACCATTAGCGAAGACGGACCAGGCCCAGTCCTGCAAAGGCCCAAGCCAGTTTAGTTTTATTTTGACGTGAGGTATAAACCAGCCCAAATCACGCGGGCACGAGCCTCTCAGACCTAGTCCATTTCTTGGGTCCACGGACGAATCCAGAGCCCACAGCCCTTTCATAGTACTTTCCTACTCCTAATCAACTTCCTATTCAAGGACGTCTTCCTATTCCTGATCACTTTCCCACTTTGCGAATTCTCCTAAACAAGGTTACCTTCCTATTTGGACATTGGTAAGACAACTCACCACGACCCTAATTCTTCTAGGGTTTACATCGGAGTCACATTAGGACTCCTGCTCCCACCAGGATTGNTGGAATCACTTTCAAATCTTATTTGACCCGATTTGCTGTTCCGTCAGAAGAGAGTGGTTCTCACAGTAACTTCTACTACTCTTTTGATGCTGGAGGGATACATTTCATCATGTTAGGAGCATATGTCGATTACAATAGCACTGGTAACTGAAAATTTATGATCAAGACATAACTATAAACCCTGACATGTCTAATTTTTTCAGATTAGAATGCAATGCTAGGATGTATATCCCAATTCTAATATTGAAATTCTCTATCCAGCTGTTAATTCTGACTGTTCTGAATTGTAGGAGCTCAGTATGATTGGCTAAAGGAAGATCTACATAAAGTAGACCGGGATCTGACCCCTTGGCTGGTAGCTGCATGGCATCCACCTTGGTATAATAGCTATTCTTCACACTATCAAGAATTTGAATGCATGAGGCAAGAAATGGAAGAACTTCTGTATCAAAATGGTGTTGACATTGTTTTCTCTGGTCATGTAAGTTAAACGTATCTATTTTAATCATATAGATAAGAAACAACCTTAAAGTTTAATTATTTGGGTTAGATTCATCTAATTTGATTTTAGAGCATTTTCAATTCACATGCAGTGCTTGGAGGTTTAGTTGTTGATGTTATGTGTGGTTGTTTCTCTGAAGCAAGAAAAGACTAAGAGTGATGTTATAGTCAACATCTTAAAAAGTATTGGAGAGTTCCTTTACTTAATGTCCTTTTAAATTTAGTTGTCTCAAACTATGCTATTTCTGGACAAGATAAAATTCCTAGATTAAAACTAAAAAAATCTGTACTGTTAAGAGTAAGATTATATTCTCTTATCTGGTGATCATTGCCTTCTCTCCTTCATTGTGATGGAGTTTGACAATATCTTGCTACCACTATCTCTATCACTTCTGTTCTTTTATCTTCCCATTTGAGTTTCTAACATTTAACAGAGGATGAGTTTAATTGTAGAACTATATTGTTGTTTTGAAGACTGAGTTCCTATACGGGTTATGTAATTAGAACTGAAAACCTTGCTATTCACGTGTGACATTGTGAAGATGAATATACAATGAATCTGCTATGGTTGGTAAAAGTGTTAGCTGATACTTTATATCAGAGCAAGTTAGAGATATAAGAAAGCTGAAAAGAAAACTAGATACTACTAAAATTCACACTTAAACAAATATTCTTCTTTCTCATTGAATATATGCTGCCTTCTATACAGGTTCATGCTTATGAGCGGATGAATAGAGTTTATAATTATACATTGGATCCTTGTGGACCTGTTTACATAACAGTTGGAGATGGTGGAAATATTGAGAAAATTGATGTTGATTTTGCGGATGACCCTGGAAAGTGTCCCTCAGCTAAAGATAACATACCAGAATTTGGGAACATATGTCATTTGAATTTCTCTTCAGGTCCTGCTAAAGGAAACTTTTGCTGGAGCAAACAGCCCGAATGGAGTGCATTGAGAGAAAGCAGCTTTGGACATGGAATACTTGAGGTACATATGCTTTAAGAATCTTAACATCAATGCTGCAAATGCAATACTAAGTTTCTTCCCTTAACCCAACCCTAATGCCTTTTAGGTTTAGATGTGGAACATTGAACACGGATTTTGTTACTAATATGTTAAACGACACACAGAGTTTGCATATATTCAGATTTATTCATAACAGACTTCACTATTGTGGTACTCCGGCACCAATATAAATGAAGTGGCTCCCTTCTTGTTGCATTTGAATGTGTCTATATAAGGTTTCAAGGGTTTCTAAAGTATGCCTACTTTGCTACATCAATCCTGGTTTAACCTGTGAGTGTATGCATGCACAATTATGTTAAAATGCAGATCTGTGAGTAGAAATTTGCTAAATTAATATGCTGTGGCTTAACGAAACACTCTGGCATGTATTTGGTTCTTCACTATTTCGCATAAAGCAAAGCCTGCCGACACAGAATTTGTTATGATCTTTCTAGTTTCTTCTTTGAGTTGTGTCTTTCTTCATCAAGATTTTGTCCGTTTCTTGATGCAGGTAGTAAATTCAACGTATGCATTATGGACCTGGCACAGAAATCAGGATATTTACAAGGAAGATAGTCATGGTGACCAAATCTATATTGTGAGACAGCCAGAACTGTGCTCTGCCTCCACCTCTAAAAGTGATTCTCTGATATAACTTTTAGTTTCAAATGGTCATTTGTTAGTTGTTCTCGTTTATGAAATGGCCTCATTACAAACTTAATAGTTAGAAAATGAATGAAAGCATTCTTGAATCTTTGTGGTCACTGTCATCGATCAATTACTTATCGGTTGTACTGCAGTCAGCAACTAGACCATTCATCATCAAATCATTAAAGTAATGTTTCTCGATGAAGTCAGTTGAATAGGATAAAATTGTATCTCTTAGGAGCAGTATAGACACCTTTTGATGCATACAGTTCAACATGTGAAAAAAATTAATGTGTAAACTCCAGCGCTCCTGTTTTCATAGCGGGTTCTTTCTAACTTCTAGCAAAGGGGCTTTTTTTTTTTCCCCCCACTTTTTGAGATGGATGAGTTTGGTCTGCTTTCTTATAATAGAAAAAACAATATAACTTTTCATTGATGTATTTTTTCATTCAGATCCGATTCAAATTAGCACATTGATCATTTACTTTAAGCTTTTCTGATTTTCTGATGACAGGGGAGCAACCTGAAACAACTAGGAGCTCAAACAGTGAAGCAGCAGCTATATCAGGAAAATGTAAGTGGATACTGTCAATAATATTATTCATAATGGCTGTCAATATCATTGCTGTAAAATGATATTAAATATGCATGTAATTGTGCTGATTAAATTTCTCTTCTTCACTGTATATAATTCTTGCCAAGTTCAATCTAAAGTATGTAATATAATGGATTTCAATGTGCTTATATATTCTACCAAAGAAATTTCCTAGAGTTGTAAATGAAACATCTCAAATGATATATATATATATATGTCAAATTGTACTTTATAATAGTGATATTCTATTTTAAGTTAATTTTTAATATTGATATCCAGGATAGTTTTGTGCAATGTTATCACTTTTACTATTGTTGGAGATAATACACTAAATAGGCCCAAAACTGAAAACCCATAGGCTTAGCTTGGCCAAAATTTGATAGCTCAATTTTTCACCAAAACAAAATCATCCATGTTAAATTAAAATATCTTAAATGCACAATTTTATTATAGAAAAAAAGTTAATTATATGTAACAGTTATTACATTATTTACAAGTCAAATCAATAATTATGTATGGAAAATTGTCAATTTAAGACCACTTGTTTTAAAAACAAGAAGAAAAAATAAAAGAGTCAACAACTTTTTCCCACCTTAACAATTGTTTAGTGACATATTCTCGTCTCTATACTTTTAAAATATCACTTTCTCACTGAAAAATATAAATTTAATGACACTTTCCTATCGATCCCACCAATTGTCAATCGATTCTGGCATTGTTGCGACCTTATACCACCACCATTCTCTTCATCGATCATCACTCATCAAAATTCGTCAAACCTTACTCTCGTCGACCTAGCCAATCATTGACAATCAAGCGATTAGGGTTTGTGCGACCGCCCCCCAAGTCAAACTCTGACCAATCATGACCACCAAAATCTAACATTTTATCACCAAAAGACTCACCAACCTCTCCTCTTTAAAAGCCCTAATAGATCGAGTTTGCTCTCCGTTTGCTACTGGATCGAAAAGTGTATTTTTTGATGAGAAAGTGATATTTTAAAAGTTTGTAAGTGGAAAAATGTCATTAAGCCATTATTTGGGTGCAGGAAAGTCGTCAATTCAAAAAAAAATATTAAGTTATAAAACTCTGTTAAAATTTAAAAGGGTCACTTAAACTTAACACCTAAAGTTTGTTAAAATTAAATGGTTTAATGTCATTTATTAGAAATATTAATAAATAAAAAAACATGAAAAAGACTAACATAACCTTAGCTGGAAACGATATTTTTGTTTGACCATAAATTGGTAATAACTATAAAAATAAATTTTTATTGTTATAACTTTTTTTTAAGAAAAGCAACACTAAAAAATATTTTTGAGAAGACAGAAAAAACTAAAATATTAAAAACAATTAAAAAGAAAAGAAAAGAATTAACTCTTCATGGAAGCCTTTAGCCACTGTATCCACCTATTTGTTACGATTGTTGTAGAGGTATAGTGCTCCTACAAATAAATAAATAAATTTTAATTATTTTCAAAATATCAATTATGTAACATATATTGAGTTCTCCTAAAGTGATATCTGATAAACTGTCAATATGCGTGTAGATTCTGTTGTCCTTAAAATGCATGCTTTATGTCCAATCTTAAATACGTCATTGCATCATAGAAAAGTTCATTAGTGACATTTTAGTGATGTGACAAACTAAAACTAAAATAATGCTGTACCCACCTAATTGTTACTATTGGTGTACGCGTATATGTATTAATGTATGTCTAATGTCTTCCTACAAATAAATATATTTGTTATTATTTTCTTGAGTAATGGACATGTTCCCACCCAAAGTTTAGCGAAATAAGGTTAGTATATAGGTCTCATAAATTTCAGATTCTCACTCTTAAATGAACGATGTCAATCACGGTTAGGTTTGAGATGTGCTATTACCAAATTGCCTTTCACATCGTTCCAAACCACCACCACCTCATTCCAAACCATCACCACAGCTAGCCCACATTACAAAGCAACACCCACCTCTCCAAAACAACACCTACCATAAATTAAATTAACCCAACGTAAGAAATGTTGAAAACCGGATCAAATCAAACAAACACTCCACTAGAACTCTCAAAAACTAATCAATTCTTTAAATCAATCATCAAAATTAGCCAATTGACCAAAAATCGCGAAGGAGATCGCCAGCTAACGGCGACTGAACAGTTGAAGGGGACATGAGGGTTTTGAAGAGTTGGAGTTACTGGTTGTAGTAGTGGTGACCAATTTGATTTTAGTCACTGGAAATGATTAGAATCCAACAGAGAATGATCGAATCCTAACCCTAATGGCGTCGGCAATCAAATAAGTCAATGAGTCAGAAAATAAAGGGGTTTTGGTAATGTGAGGGTGTTGAAGCTGATAAAGTCCAACTCCGACAAGAAACGACAAGATCGAGCGTGAGAGTTGTTCACACACGGTTAAAGGGTTTGAGATGTGGGGTTATTTGACTTTTTAATTTCAAATTATAGTAAAGACTAGTTTAGCCTTTTAATTGTTAAAAATAAAGGATGTTATTTTAAGGGTGGAAATCTGGAATAAATGAAATCAGGGATATTAACCTTTGAATTTTGCAAATCCTCAGGTGGGAACATGTCGTTTACTCTTGTTTTTAAAATATTAATTATGTAACATAAATTGACTTCTTCTAAAATGATACTCCCTCCGTTTCCAAATAAATTTGGTTTTAAACTTATTACTTTTCTTTCCAAAATAAATGTTGTTTAACCAAAAAGTTGAGCAACCTTCTTTCTCTTTCTCGTTTTATGGCCCTTGTTTCCTCTCTTTTGCATTTTCTTTGGTCCTTCGTCTCTCCTCTCTCTTTTTCTCTCTCTCTCTCTCTGGCCTTCGTCTCCTCTCTCTCTCTCTCTCTATTTCTCTTTCAAACGTCATTTAACTCTTCACAATTCTCTCCAGTTTTAGATTTGGGACACTACTGGTCAAGAGATGCTCAAAGCTGTTACTTCTGCTTACTATAGAGGTGTTGTTGGTGCACTTGTTGTTTATGACATTACCAGAAGAAGTAGCTTTGATAGCATTAACTCTAGCTTGAAGAGCTCACTAGTAAGTAGCTTTGATAGCATTTAATTGTCTTGCCTCCACTATTTTGTGCTTTGTTTATTTGTGAAGTAAAATGTGTGCAAGAAAGAAAAAATGTTATGGTTGACTATGTTTGATGTTGTTGCTTTATTGTGTTCTAGAAATTGGTTGCCAAACAAAAAGTTAGTTTCTTTTGGAATATGCCTTAACCTTAATTAGCTTGTCAATTTTTGGCTCTTATCGCTGCTGCCTAGTTTTCCAGGTGGAAATTGAGGTTCTGTAAAATTGAACTTTGTTTAGATGCATATTTATAACAATTGGTATTATTATGATTGAACTCTGTATTTCTAATTATGATCCTAAAAAAGGAAATACCAATGTTAAGATCTTAGCCATGAAGTTTTTCCACAAATCATGCATTTAGTAAATCCAAGATTCGGATATTTAAACTAAAAGAATATGGTTAAAAAATGTAGAGAGTGAATTTTATTAGTTGTAAATCATTACTTTTGTAATATTATTTGAAATGAATTGAAGAGCCTGTAATCACTTGTTGGTGTTGTTCCTGCTTAGCTTCAATAGACAATCTAATTTTACAAATGTTACAAAGTTGCCTCTTGCATCAAAGGTTTCTAAACTTGAGTTTCAATATTTTGTTTTTTAAAGTTACCCTTCTAAATCTGAGCAGGTAGATCATCCCACCACAACAAATAGAGATCAAGTTGTAAACGCAATGGAAATTATGAGTCATAAACTTTAGAATGAAGAATTAGAACAAATGAGGATATGGGTGTCTTTATCATGTAAGTGGCTTTTTTGTGTTTCTTTAAGGTGCGTTTGGTTCAAAGAATTTTAGATTACTAAGAATGTTATATTAATGGAAAATTAGATTACCTTAAAAATTCTTAGGAATCTTTAGAAAAATGTGTTTGGTTAGTTGAAATAAATTAGCGGGTAAGTTATTTATATTACTAAATTGCCTTCATTTTTAAATATTAATATAATGTTATTTTTATTATTAATTTTTCAATAATTTCTTTTAACATTTCAGATTTAGTTAAAACACCCTAGCTTATATAAAACTTTAATTTATAACAAAATCACCCCCACCCACCACAAGCTACTGTCAGCCGCCAGCCACCACCTTTGGAAGTTGTCGAAAGTCGTTGAAAATTTCCAAGAGTCCCTAATATGGCCCAAACGGCCAGATGGCCGTAGATCTGACCTAAAAATGGCCAGATCTAGTTTGGCCATTTCCGACCAGATCGATGGATCTGGCCGTTAACGGCCATCAATATGGTCAAAAACGGCCATATCGGAGCCTCCCGGCGACTGTCGGCAATGGCCAGCAGTGGTTGACTAGCTATCGGCAGTGGTGGTTGGGTGACGGTAGTGATCTGCAATTTGTTTTAAATATAAGGGCATTACTGTCCAAAAACTTAATTAAACAAGGGTAAAATTGTAATGGTGGATTAATATAAATTGATTTTAAAATAAGGGCATTATTGTCCAAAAAATTTATTAATAAGAGATAAAATTGTAACCAAAATAAGATAACCAAGTAATCTTCCAATACCTCAGAAAATGAAGGTAATTAGATTATCTCCAATATTACCAACATTAACTACTATTGGTATTGGAAGATTACTAGAATCTTATATTACTTGACAACCAAATGTGGTAATCAAGTAATATAAGATGACATTACCTTAATAATCCCATATAACCCCCAACTAAACACCATCTTAAGGTTTTTATTCTTAAAATTGATTATGGTACATTAATTGTTGTATGACTCATTTGACTTATCAATTTATGAATGTTTAGATTTTGAAGGTAATCATAACATCAACAATGAGGCCAAATTAACTGACACTGAAGGCAATACAAGCATTCCAAATCATTTGGAATGGTGGATGTCAATAGTGGAGGTTTTATTTATTTATTTATTTTATGGTGGATGTCAATACACTTTATTTTCTTTCGTCAATTCAGTTCATTATTTACAATATTTTCTCTTATATAATATATGTTGCAAAAAATAATGTAGAAGGTGAATCAAGATTGATTGTCGAAATTGAAATTTCTGGAGTTTGGAATAACCAGGAAAAATCAGCAATGGGCGTTGTAATGTATGATACATGCGTTGGAAATTTGACTTTAACAGAAGAGAATGTGTTAGCTTCTAACACACTACATGCAAAATATCTTGCCTTATATCATGGACTGTATATAGCTCATGAAGATGGTGTTAAAGAAGTCCAATGTTTGTCTTACTCTCAAGAGCTAATTGATAGACTTAATAGGAATGATGAACAAAAATGTGTATTGGGTGATTTGCTTGATTCCTTTACACATGTCGAAGTTTGTAAAGTGCCTGTTAGTGTGGATTTGTTCGCTGTTGTTATGGTGTAATCTCTCACTAGTCAAGTATTCACTGAGTATCTTATAGAGAAAATCCAGAGAATTGCTAGCTTAAAAAGGGTGTTCGTCTAAAATTTGTATCCTTAATCCAGTTATAAAATACTATTACACAATGACTATTTCTCACATATATAAAAATAATAAGAATTATTTTCTAATGAATTGGAAAGCGTGAAGATGTTTTCTAAATATTATTACTACCAAAAATACATATACAAATCCACATTAATTCCTTCATTGAGACAGTGTGTGCAATCCTCTCTCCAGCTTGATGTCTCCCGACCGCTACAATCTAATGCCTGCAAAAATAAAGAAAGCAACGGAGTGAGCTATAAATGCTTAGTAAGTAAATCAAATCTAACTATGCTCTTACTCTGTTGTCCCCATTTTCGCTGTACTGCTTTTAAATTTTTGCTTGCTTTCTCCCTTTATTCTTAAGCGTACTACTTAGCAGTCTTCTAATTTTTTCTCAAATCTTTCTAGTGTTGTGCTATTCTTTATCATTTTATTTCTCTTCTCTGCTAGATTAAATCTTCCTATTTCCTTCTCTACTCAATGAATCGCTAAGTTTCCTTGCTTTTTGTCATGTTTCTAATTTCTATTCTTTGCTAGCATGTATCTAATTTATGTTCTTTTCTCGTATATTTCTAATTTCTTTTTCTATTCTTGTAGGCTTCTATTTTCTTTTATTCTCCATTCTAATGTGCTTTTATTTTCTTTTCTTGGCTAAACAAACACGCAATGATAAAATAAACTCTTTAATCTATGCATAAATGCATAAAATGCAATACACATAAAATGTCTGATGCATATGCAAATGATCATGTTTGTATTCTTTCTGAAAATTCTTTTATAATTCTTTCTACAATTCTTTCTGTTTTCTATTTCTTATTCTATTTTTCTTTCTTATTCTCTTTCTGTATTCTGTTCTAGTTTGTCGATCGGACTAGGCTGAGGCATGGATTTGGAATCCTGGCCGTGTGAGTGTATTCTGAAATTCTTTCTGGGTACAGTCCTCATCCACATGCACTTCTAGCAGACTGTACAATTCTGTGTTCTATTCTGAGGCCGCTCACTAATGGAGGCGTGCATGTGGGAAACTTCTGCATCTCAGTCGCCACTAACTAACTTAGCGAATGCTCACAGGTTCCCCATCACAACACCCCTCTGAAAACATGCTCTGTAAATCTAAAAAATAACTAGCTAGACATTTTCCAATAATCTTAAAATTTCTTAAATACATGCTATGCTATGTCATGTATTCATATGATATCTATGCATGATCCCAAAATACGTGTCTGACTGAATGACTCTGGCATGTATTCTATTAATTCTAAGGCTTTTATTTCTATACTTTTCTGGAAAGCCCAAAGTTCTATTCTAGTAACACGCTTAACTTAAACATTTTCTATTTTATTCTTTATTTCTGAATTCTATGCATCGTGTGTACGTACGCGATTCTATAATTTCCACATAATTCTATAATTATTCAATTCTATCATGCTATTAAAATGCATACATACACAATTACATTATCTCTCACGAATTCTACTCTTTTATAATTCTATTAGTGAGATATTAAAACGGCACAAGTCAACTAGGGAATGAATTCTACATTTTAGGCAATCTAATTTCTTCTATAAAAATCTAAGCCACAACTTAGGTATTAAGTCTACTAACATGTCCAATTATGCAACTAGATTTTCTCAAATATATATATATATATATATCACATAACCATGTCATTAAACTACTCTTTAATATTTTCTAATGTTACAAACATGCCTTGTACAACTTTCTATATACAAATTTTAATGCCTTAAATTTGCATTCTCTTAACATGACCATCAACTTCAATTGTTATACATACCCTTCTTTCTTCTTTTCTTTTGGCTACATTCTATACATGAATCTATATTGCCATATTAATCATTGTAAATACAATCTAACATATGGCACAACATATATACTTTGGCTAAATTCTAATTTCTTTCTAACATTCTTAACTAAATTTTTGGCCAATACAAAATATTCTCAAGATCTTCTAGCACAATTCTGTAGCTTGTAATATATAATAAGGCATGAAAATTATACTCATACCAATCAATTTCTAAAATGGTCATGTATTTAATACATAAATCAAACTTCTATTTCTTTGATGTTTCTTTTGATCTTGGGAAAGCTTTTCTATTCTTTATACAATAAAATCACTTATTATATATTGTTTATAACTAATCTCAAAACAAGAAACAACAATCTACTCATTTGGCCAAGCCATTCTTTGGATGATCTTTCTAATTTTAAGCATACAAGCTTGACAACTTATTATGGCATATTGTAATATTATTATATAATCACCTATCTTTTACTATCATCAACACTACATTATTGCAACAATTTAATGTGCAATTCTTGCCATCACTTTTCTAAAGTCATGAGTTTTAAAACTCATAATTCAATGACTAAATACAATATGCCATTCAAACTAATGCTAAAAGTTCAAGCAACTGGAACCATGCACTAAAGGCCATTTATTTCATTTAACTAACATAATCAAGTGTTATTCTAAATTTTGACATAACAAAATGCACTCTTAAACACTTAAACTTATACTTTGGTCAAGTTTAATACAACCTTTTAACATCAATTCTTTCATTTCTCAAACAATATCTTCAACGATATTCAACAAATTTATGCATGCATTTCTTTTTGAATTTTCATCAAACAATTTACATGCACAAACAAGTACTTGGTTGGGCACACTTCCACATCTCTCCAAATACTCAAAATTGGAACAAAACTCACCAAAAACTAAACTCCTAATCTGGCCGAAATCATCATTCCAACATTCCATCAATACTTCTTCCATATTTCATCTATAATTCGCCAAATCATCACATACAAATGAACTACTCTTCATGGCTGAATTTTTACACATCATTCAAGCATTTAAATGGCCAACAATTCTCACCATACATCATATACAACCATACAATAATCAACAATTACAATTATGGCTCAAAACAAGGCTTAAGTTTGATTCATTTACCTTTTTCTTGCAAGAATCCTTTTCTTTGGTTCTTTTGCTCATTTTCTCCATTGATTCATGCTAAAACACATAAATTCATGAGAACTCATACTTATAAAACACAAATCACAAACTTTTGCTAAAATTCTTACCTTAGAAAGCCATAAAATGAACATATATTCACTTAGGTATGAATTCTCATGTAATTATCTTGGAAGACTTTGAAGAAATGGAGGAGAAATGAGCGAAGAAGGTGGCTGGAGTTTTTGGTGTGCAAATGGTTAGAGTTTTGTCAACTAAAGTCTTATAATTAAATAAATAAATATATATATATATATATATATATATATAGGCCCACAAAAAACTTACTATTAATATATATATTTCAAGCCCATATCATATTAAAATTTTAAAACTCTCTCCAATCTTTTCCTCCACGGCTCTGCCTACTTTTTATGATTTTATCCCAAAATTCTTTACTCTCTCATTCTCTTTCTTATGCTATTTGCTCTTAAAACTTTTGAATACTGAAATTGTTGAAGCTTTCACTACTCAAGGTGCCACAATTAGCTCTGTTTTTTATTTTATAAGTTTTAAGTATGTGTATTGTTCATTTCAATTTATTTTATTTTAGGGTTGAATTATTATTTTATTTTTTTAGGTTTTTTATTTTAATTTGAGGGAAAGAGACATGGATATTGTAAGTTTGTTTTGCGTCTAAAAATGAACTTGCTTTTCCAAATTAAAACCTTAACTATATTTTAAATGACGTTATTCTTGACCCTTTATCCACTACTTTCCTAATTTCAAACGTCATTGTTCAGTTGCTCAAAATTATTAAATAAATTTGAGTTACTATCTATGTTTATATTAAGAAATTTCCCCCCCTTTTTTTTATTAATTCATATTAAAAATCAACGCAACGTTAACTTGATTTAAGTTTTGGTTGACTTTAACTTAGGTTATGTCCGATCAAAGTCAAAATTTGTATTATAATATTTGGAAGCTAAATAATAATAATAATAATAATAATAATAATAATAATAATAAATAAATAAATAAATAAAAGAAGGTTTTGCTTAATATATACTCAACATATTTTCTCAAAAATTTACTTTTCGTAGATTTATTCAAGTAGAAAAATATTGTATTATTGTATTCTTTTCCTTTAGGTTCTTAATATTGTATTATTTTCTTTGTTTAAAGTTTGATAATTTTTTATAATTTTATTAATTATTTGACAAACAATGATGGAACTACGGAGGTTTCCATCGGTACAAATCCTAAACCCGTTGCTAAGTAGGAGAGATGATAAAATTTGTTCACATTAAAAAAAAAAATTAGGTGCGCGTTTGGCTAACTATTTTTATCTGTATTTTAGACCGGATTTTTGAAATGCTGTTTGTTTTATTATTTGAAGAATTCAACCCTGATAATACAATCCCGACACTATCCTGACATTCTGACCGTTACATTTATTTTTTCTTTTTTTTTTTTCACTGCATCCTCACTGTTTGACCATTTCACTTTCTCAGTATCACTGCCTCCTCACTACCAGCTTCGTGCTTCAGCTCTCAATCCACATAACCGTTTTCAGTGCTTCACTTTCTCAATATCCATTACCACCATTTCAGTTTCTGATAATCTATTACCAGGTTCGGTGCTTCACTTCCCAGTTTGCATTACCACCATCTCCCTTTCTAGTTTCCAGTACCAGCACCGTGAACCCCCAATGCCCTCTGTCACAAACCCACATTCTAACCCAACGTGAACCCACCGTCAACCCGGAAACCAGCCCACCCCGAGCC